AGAGAGGTCAGGAAAGGGCTGCTGGCTCACGGTCTGGGTGGGACTAGCGCTGTGCCCCCTCTCCCTGGTTGCGTCTCCCTGACCAGGCTGTAAAATGGACTTGACAATGCTGTGACGTCTCTCGTGGGAGTTTTTTGAGGATTAAATGTCGTGAAGGCCCTTAAGGCGCTGAGCCCAGGGCTTGGCACAGACAAGTTCTGGACACACGTTAGAATTAATGCGATTCACAGCAGGGACGCGTCCCCTCCCCACCAAACCCCATATTTTAACAGATTCCAGCCAACAAAATGACACCTTCACAGTGTCCCTTGAGTCATCCACTCAGTGCCAGACTCTGCGGCAGGTTTGTAGGATCCAAAGGTGAGCAGGATAGACACGGCCCCTGCCCTCTTAGGGGCGACACGTATATGGCTGTCCTCTTGACTCCAAAACACACGCGCGTTTGTGAAACAAAACCAAACGCACCCTCTCCTCAGAGCGACGCCCTCTACTGGAAATACGGAGAGGAATCTGCTGCAGGAGTTCTGGGGAAATGCCTGGGAGGGAAGCTCCCCCAGAGTCCTTGCCTGCCACCACCTTAGGCAGTTTGGAGGGACAGGGCAGTCTGGGGCTGGGGTGGAGGCAGGCCCAGATCTCAAGGACTGGAGCGCTGGGGGAGCGCCCCTTGCACACGAGTTGGAACCACCCCCAGCCAACCAGACCAGGGGTGGGGAGCCTGCTGGGGAGGGTCCTTGCGTGGGGGATGAGGGGACTGAGGGGTGCCTGGCGGAACTCGGCTGCCTCAGGTGCTCTCCCTTGTAGAGCCCACCCTCCTCCAGAAGAAGCCACAGCCCTGGTCAGAGTAGTCTGAGCATGGTCCTGCTGAGGTAGGACTTACCTCAGGACTGCTCCCCAGAGCTACCTGAACAATAGCTTTGACTTAGTGATGCAGTTTTGTAGTTTAAAAATTCCTGCTAAAGTGGAAAATAAAGGGAATTGGGGAAGTCCCTAACATAGGCATGCGCAGAGGGACAGCTGGTGTGACCTAGAATTCACCTTTGCTTCATTATACGATCATTATAATAAATTAGCATTGGGGTTAAGGCTGTACCCATTATGCATCTGATGCCCTGACAGTTCCGAAAAAGCCCACACATGGTAAGAAAAGGGGCACCTCCTTAATTCCAGAAAAAGAACCACCTTCTTTCCAAAAAGCAACCACCCTAAATCATGAATATTCCACCCCTTAGTTATATTAATGGATGAAATCCCCAAACCCACAACAGGCCCATGCCAGCAGCTCTCCCTTGAGCCTGCCTGCTCCCCTATCTGAGCGTGTAGTTCTGCTTTGGCAGAAGTCTTTGGGACTGACGACTTTTGGCAGCTTGCTTCCCCTTTTGAGACTGAGCTTACTTTGTCCTGAAGGCTGATAGCTCCTGGCCGCCTATTCACCCTTCTAAAGGTGTACTTTCTCCTTTAATAAGGCTACCTTGTACACAATTTCTGGGTGTCTGCCTTCAATTCTTTGTCGACCAGATGCCAATAACTGAGGTCCAGGAGTTCCAGGACTCCCCAGAACCGATAACACTGCTATCGCCATGGCCTGAACACTCGCCATACAAGACAAGCACGAGGCCTGCCTCTGTTGCAGCCGCTGCCTCGCAGAGGCCCTCCAGTCAGGCCCAGGAATCCTGCTTCTGTCCCTCAGCCTCTATGCAACTCAAGGGACTCGCTGCCATTCCAAGAGTTCACCTGAGCGGCAAGATCTCTGTCCCTAAGTGCGCAACGCGTAGAGTCCACCCCCGACACGGTCTAGCCAATGGGGATGCAGCGAATGAGCTCCTGCGGCCACTAAGAGGCGGTGGGCGGGACCATCCTGGCTTCTCCCAGCACCCGCAGAGGCGCAAACCTGATGGCCATAGGGAGGGGGACTGGGGTCTGGGCCTTGTGTGTGCTTCAGGGGCTAGGGGGGCTCCTCTGTGAGGTCCATAAGAGAATGGGAGCCTGGCATGGAGAGTGTGGCTTTTTGAGCAGGGCTGCAGTCTTAGAAGAGGCTGGTGACACTAGGATTCTCATTCTCCTGCCTCATGGACAATATCCGCTGTGAATGGGAAGTCCAAGACCAGGCAAGGCCTGGTATAAACACCCTAGAGATACATAGCATGACCAAGTGGGAATTATCCCAGGAATGCAAAGTTGGTTTAACATCTGAAAATGAATTACACACCATATTAATAGTACTAGATAGGGAACCATGAGCATTGCGATAGATGCAAAAAACAGACTAGACAAAACCCACCACCCATTCATGATAAAAATTTGCAATGAATTTGGAATAGAAGGGAACTTCCTCAACCTGACAGTGTCTACATAAGCTCACAGTGTGCATAATTCTTAATGGCGAAAGAATGAAAGTTTTCCCTACTATTGGGATTAATGCAAGATGTCCACTTTCACCTTTTCTATTCAGCATTGTACTGGAGACTCTAGCCAGTGGAATAAGCACCTACCCATCAAAACAAAACAATCCTGATTAGAAAGGT